GTTTTTTTTCAACCCCCCCCCCCCCCCTCTCCCTTCACATCAGAGCCTCTTCCTTTCATCTTGGAGTCCTGTCTACACCTCACCCCTTCACTGGCCCACCTGCACCCTGGAAATGCATTACAATAATGTGACAAATCAATACCCCTGACAACGGTAGATGGCGCCCTCGTTGACAATGGCTGCTATAGCTAACTTCCAGGAAAATATACTGGCTTGGCATCGGGTAAAGCTAGTTCTTTAAGAAGGGCTGTCCGACAGAAAAAGTCTAGTTCCTCCTGAGCACGGAGACCGAAGGAAACAATTGGTGTCCGTAATTGTAGGAACGGAAGTGCGCACGGAGGACACTTTGTGTACAAATTGAACATTATGTGAAACTAGCCGTGCAAGATTGCCAATTGTGTGCCATTGATGGGGGGCAAGAAAAGGCCAACCTACCGCTATCCTTACAGTCAATTGAACACCATGTCACCTTAGATCACGTGTGCCTCGTTAGCGCAGTAGGTAGCGCATCAGTCTCATAATCTGAAGGTCGTGAGTTCGATCCTCACACGGGGCATGGAGTTTTGATTCAACCCAACCGCAACAGGACATCCTAATTTTGCAATTTAAACAAGCTAAGTGCTTGTTTTGGTCTACAGAAAAAGAGATACACTCAACTGATCCTCGATCTTGTGGTGGTCAACGCTCACCTCTCTACCCCTCTGGTCTCCCTCACGTCTAATACACCCAAATGCTCCCAATGGCAACTTCCGGTATCAGGAAGCCAAGCGTGATTCATTACCAGCCCCCCGGCTTCTAAATTGGCCACAAAGCTGGCTCCTTGTCATTTGGTGATGCAGAAGCATAGAGTCGGCTTCCCGGCCAATCACAAAGCCGGGGCGACGTGTAATGACCCGCCGCTCAGCTTCCTGATTGGTTGGAAAGCTGGCCAATCAGGAAGCCAAGAGCGGCTCATTACCAGCCCCCAGCTACTTGATTGGCCACAAAGCTGGCTCCATGGTTCCTTGTCACTTGGTGACAAAGGAGCATGGAGTCGGCTTCCCAGCCAATCAGGAAGCCGGGGCGATGTGTAACGACTCGCCGCCCAGCTTCTTGATTGGTTGGGAAGCTGGCCAATCAGGAAGCCGGGCGCGAGTCATTACCTGCCCCAAGGGCTTCCTGATTGGCCAGAAAGCCAGCTCAATGCTTCCTTATCTCCTGGTGACGAGATAGCATGGAGCCGTCTTCCCGTCCAATCAGGAAGCCAGATGCTGTGTAATGACTCTCCGCCAGGAAGCTGGCCAGTCAGGATGCGAGGTGGCAAGTCCTTACCTGCCCCCTGGCTTCCTGATTGGCCAGAAAGCCGGCTCCATGCTTCCTAGTCACCTGGTGATGAGGGAGCATGGAGACGGCTTCCATGCTAATCAGGAAGCAGTGCAGCAAATCATTACACACCGCCCGGCTTCCTTAATGGGACTTCCGGCATATGGTAATTGGTATCGGTGACTACCGGAAAAAAAATATCAGTACTCGATATCGAAAAACCGGTATCTGTGCATCCCTAGTGACAACACCGTGTGCAGGGTGACAACACCGTTCCTCTGCAGTAAAGGTCGGTTGGGCTTTCAATTCAACTCACAGGAAGTGACAAGGACACGGCATTTCCGCAAGGATCAGCCGTTTTTTTCTGTCCTTGCTGAAAATGTTCATAACCTGAAAATATAAAGGGGCGGGGCCTCCACATCTAAGGACGGGGTAAGCTGAAATATGTATTTGTTTTATTTTCCTTGGTATTGGAATGAGATTTGGTCAGAGTCCGATGATTGTACTTGGCCAAGAGAATTAAAGTCACATCATTGATTGTGTTTCATGTTGCGGTTAGGTCTACGTGAGCTCTACATTACAGAAGCACTGTGTGATGCAACCATAATAACTGAGAGCGGAAGGTTCCCCTGCCACAGGTAGGTTTAATTCATTTACTAAGTATAATGGAAGGAAGTCTTCGTTGCCCAGATCAGCTTTCCATCTCTGGTTTCATTTCTTATAGTGATATTGCGTGTGTGGCTGGTCAGGTCCCCAATGGGACAAAAATGACTTATAAAATATACTATATGGCCTGAAGTTTGTGGACACCTGACCACTACACCTACACTATATGGCTGAAAGTATGTGGACACCACTCTAAATTGCTGAGCTCAGGTGCTTCCGGTGAAGGGTCCTGATACTGCTACAACATACAAAGACGTTTTATAGAATTGGGCTCTTCCAGCCTCGTGGTCACAGTTTGCTGAAGACCCTTTTCTGTTCCACCATGACCGTCCCCTGTGTACAAAGCCAGCTCCATACAGACATGGATGGGGGAGTTTGGGGTGGACGAACTTGAGTATCCTGCACAGAGTCCTGACCTCAACCCCATAGAACACCTTTGGGATGAACTGGAACACTGATTGAGGACCAGGTCTTCTGATCCAACATCAGTAACTGACCTCACAAATGTTCTTTTGGCTAAATGGGCTCAAATTCTCAGAGACACACTCCAAAATCTTGTAGAAAGCCGTCACAGAAGCGTAAAGGTAGTTATGACATAGGGTTGCCACCTGTCCGGGATTCACCCGGACAGTCCGGTTTTTGAGTCCTGTGTCCGGGTTTCAGGCCAACTGACACACGGACACAAGACACTAAGTGCCGGTACCGGCACTTAACATTTTTTGACAGATGCGGCTGCGGAGGTCCCCAGCAAGCGAAGGACCTTAGCCGCATCTTCTTGTGAGCCGTAGGCGCCTGTAAACAGGCGCCGGCACACGCATATCCTCCCCTGTCTTCTTGACACCACCCTGCCTGCCTCCAGATCCCTAGTGAGACACCGCACAGCCCACATAGCACTACTGAAAGCCTGCATAGCCCACCTGACACCCCACACTAAGAGCCGGCATCTCCCACCTGAGAGCCCGCCTCTACCACACTGAGAGCCCAAACAGCCCACCTTGAGAACCTACGGTGTCCACATGAGGGCCCACACAGCCCTGGTGAGAGCCCACACATACCTGAGACCCTAGAGACATCAGGGTGCCACCCCGGAACAACAGAGTATGTGGCTTCATATAATTTTGTATCGCTGTATAATGTATTGCTGGGATTTGTAGTCCTCTATAGCCGGTCTCCTGACTCTCTCCCCTGGCTGCCTCTCCTAAAAAAAAAAAAAATTGCCACGCACGGCGCTAGAGTGTTCGGGTTTCACTTGAAGAAAAGGTGGCGACCCAATTATGACCGCAAGGATGGAGGGGAAGAGGAACAATGGTTGGAATGCTCATGGTTTCAGAATAGGATGTCCAATCAGCTCATATAGGTGTAATGGTGAGGGGTTCCACAACCTTAAAGGAGAAGTATGGGGTCAGGGCTTTTCCCCATAGTTCTCCTTAGGGTAACGGGAAGACACAAACTAGCGTCCTCCCGTCACCCTAGGCTCAGTATACCGTAGCTCCCTATATACTGAGACGCCGCAGCTGAAGCGGATCCCGACAATTATGCCGGGATCCGCCCAGCTGCGTGAGTGACAGCTGGCTCCGCCTATCTAGAGGCAGAGCCAGCTGTACCCGCCCCCCTCCCCCGTCCGTTCCGCCAGTCAGCGCTGGCAGATCGGAGGGGGGAATCTAGCCCCTCCCCTGTCACGGCAGAGAGCCGTGACAGGATCGAGAGGTGAGCGAACGCCGGTATGTGTTCGCTCACCTCCCGATCTACTGAGATGACCTGTGACAGTCTCATTGTCACAGTTCGGCTAGAACTATGAGGTGAGTGAAAAGCAC